ATGAAACAGGACACCTACCCATCACTATATAAAAAAACAACTCAAAATCGATCAAAGTTCTAAACATAAAACTTCAAACTATAAGAATCCTGGAAGAAAATGTAGGAAACAACCTTATGCACATTAGAGTAGGCAATGAACTCCTGACCAAGTCCCCAAAAGCAAATGCCATAAAAACTTAGATAGACAAGTGGGACCTTATCATACTGAAAAGCTTTTGCACAGCAAAAAGAAACCATCAAGAGAGTAAACAGACAGCCCACAGAATGGGAAAAAATATTTGCAAATTATGCATCTGACAAGGGCCTAACATCCAGGATCTACAAGGGACTCAAACGAAGTAAAAGGAAAAAAACCAAAAAGCCATTAAAAAGTGGGCAAAGGACATGAACAGGCACTTTTCAAAAGATGCTATACAAGCAGCCAACAGACACATGAAAAACTGCTCAGCCTCACTAACCATAAGAGAAATGCAAATCAAAACTACAGTGAGGCACCACCTAATTCCAACAAGGATGGCTATCATTAATGAGGCAAAAAACAACAGATGCTGGTGTGGGTGCAGAAAAAAAAGGGAAGGCTTCTACACTGTTGGAGTGCTAGTTCAACCTCTATGGAAAGCTATGTAGCGATTCCTAAAAGAACTAAAAATTGACCTTCCATATGATCCAGCAGTCCCTCTCCTGGGAAAATACATGAAGGAATATAAATCATTCTACAAAAAAGACACCAGCACAAGTATATTTATTGCTGCACTATTCACAACAGCAAAAACATGGAACCAACCCACTGCCCATCAAAAGTGGACTGGATAAAGAAATTATGGTACAAGATCATGATGGAGTACTATGCAGCCATAAAGAAGAACAAAATCATGGACTTCACAGCAAATCTGATGGAGTTAGAAACCATAATACTAAATGAACTATCACATAAAGAAGTAAATACTGCATGTCCTAACTAATAAGTGGGCCCTGAACATTAGTCACATTAGCACAAGGGAGGTATCACAGTCACTGGGCACTGCTAGGGGAGGGAGAGTGGGAGGCATGTGACAACACAAAGGGTACCTGGTTTACTACTGGGGGAGTGAGGGCAAGTTAGCAGCCCAAACTTCACCTGTATGCAGCCTACGTATGTAGTTAGTCCTCACTTGTACCTCACATCTCTATAATAAAATAAAAATAACAATTGACTCAAAATCAATCAGTGGTTGCTGGAGGCTGAGGGTTGGGGAGGGGAGAGGCTGACTATTAAGAGAAATAGGAGACTTTTCCAGAAGGCATTAATACTGCTCTATATGTTGATTGTGGAGGTGATTGTCAAAATTCACATAAGTTAAATTTCACTGTCTGTAAATTATTTTCTAAAAGTCTATTTTGGCACTGAGTATTATCTAGGAAGAATAAAAATAATCTTTTTGGGAATATCCATGCAATAATATACATATAATCACAAGTTGTTTACAAATGGGATATGAGAGAAGAAAAAAACTGAAGCATCCCAAAATGTAATGCCTTAAGTATCCGCATTTGGATTCAGCTTGGGGAATGCTGGAAATCACAGGACCAGTCTTTCCTGAATATAAACAGAAGCATTTTGGATGACTAGTAAATAAAATTAATCTAGAACCCATACTGCAATCTTTACCTGTATGTCCTGCAGACATCTCTAACTCCAACAATGAACACAATCTTACGTCTCCATCTGATCTTTATTTCCTCTCTATTTTAGTAAATGATCCCATCAACCCATTCAGTTGCTCAATTAAGAAATGTGGATGCTGTCTTTGACTCCTTCTTCTGTCTTACTTCCTTCATACAATGAATTTACTTATCGTCAAATCATGATAATTATACTTCTCAGTCATAGCATCTCTGCTGTGAAGCAGAAAAGAGCAGGGTACTAGAAGTTGAGTATGACTGGATTGAAAGGATGAGAGAGTGCTATGAGGAGGCAAGGGAGGCAAGTGGAAACATGCTAATTATTTTGGTGTTAGTACTCATCTCTAACACATCTCAAATGTGCACTCTTTTCTCCATCCCTACTTCTATAATTCTAGTACAAGTCACCACCTCTCACCTCTAAGTAAGTTACTTAAGAGTCTCTGGTTTCCCTACATAATTCTTGCTTCCATTTCAATTCAACTTTTAGTTCTATGCTGCTTTCTGCTTCAGAGCAGAGATGCCAGATTTTTCCTATGGACTGGTGCCTCTGCCTATAATATTCCTGCTTACCCTTGAACCTAAACGTGTCCAACTTACTACTCTTCTTCCTTCAGAGGCAGCAAGCACAGCACTTCTAGGAAGCCTCCCATGATCCCACATGTCTAGTTTAGGTTTACTCATTTTCTGTTCTTACAGCATAGTTCATCTGTAAGCACTTATGGTATAATAAAAATTATATATATTTGGCTTCTGTCTCAGGTTCCTGGCACAGAGCTCCTAAAACCCTCAGAATCTTCTGAGTGATAAGAAATGACTTTTCTGGGCTCGGTGGCTCAGCCTGTAATCCCGCGTCTTTGGGAGGCTGAGGTGAGTAGATTGCCTGAGCCCGCGGATTCGAAACCCACCTGGGCAGCGAGACCTCATCTCTACAATAAATCAAAAAATCAGCCGGGCATGGAAGCGCATGCCTGTAATTCTGGTTACTTGGAAGGCTGAGGCGGAAGGATCGCCAGAGCCCAGCAGGCGAGGCTGCAGTAGCCAGGAGCGGCCACCACACTCCAGTCTGGGCGACCGAGTGAGTCTCCAACTCAAAAAAAAAAAAAAAGAAGGAAATGACTTTTGTCTGCTAATGAGATGACTACTCGCTGGAGACTCCTAGATGGTTTCAGCATGAGAGCTGGTTGCTAGAAAGACCAAGCCATGATTAGGGATTTGGAACTTTTGGCCCCATCTCCCCATCTCTGGGGAGAGGAGAAGGGCTGGAGAGTAAATTCAATCACAAATGGCCAATCACTTAATCAATTGTGACCACATAATTAAATCACCATTAAAACTCTAAATGGTGGAGTTTGAGGAGCTTCTGGGTTGGTGAAGATGTTGATGTGCTAGGAAGGTGGAATACCCATGGGGCATGGAATCTCTGCCACTCCTCACCCCGCACCCCAACCTTGCCCTATGCATCTCTTTCATTTGGCTATTCTCCAGTTGTATCCTTTATAATAAATCGGTAAATGCATTTAAAGTGTTTTCCTGAGGTCTGGGAATCAAACTAGTGAATTATCAACCTGGGGGAAGGGGAATCAGGGGGACCTCCAAATTTGTAGCCAAGTTGAACAGAAGTATAGAAAGCCTTGGTATCCTTTTTGTGACTGGCACCTGAAATGAGGTTAGTCTTGTAGGAGTGAATCCTTAAACCATGGAGTCTCTAACTCTAGGTAATTAGTGCCAGAATTGAATAAAATTGTTGAACACCTGATTAGTAACCAGAGAATTAAAAGAATTGGTGTTGGAAAAGATATCACATATTGGAAGTTAGAAAAAAACCTGAGGGTACTTATTAAGAATCTGTTTATAAGCTAATTGATTACAAACTCCACGAGACAAGATCATGTTTGTTTTATCTACCACTATATTCCCAGCACCTGGCACAGTGCCCAGCACCCTGTGCAGGACACACTGGGTGAAGGTATAAATGGAATGCCTACCACTGGAGTGTACAAATTCTAAATTGTTATCTGGGAAAGAAGTTAGTCATGAGGCCTTCTCTGGCTCTGCTTCTGATACAATACTGAAAGCTGATGAAACAACAAGAGAAAAGTAACAGGTCCAACTTTCACTATGTGAAGGCCAACGAAAAGATAGAATGGTAGAGAGGACGAAGCAGCAAATATGATACCACTTCAAAGAGGAAGGATAGCTGAAAACAGCACGATTGAGTCACAGTCCTAGTAACTGCTCAGCATTGAACACCTCATGTTGTCAATTTCTGCTCTCTCCCCCAAACTGTTAAGCAATAGAGTTCAAACCCTGCTCCACTGCCTGCTTAAAAAAAAAACAACTGTAAGATAAATAAAATCAGTATATAGCCCATTAGTCATACTCTAAAGGCAATGAAAACCCTCAAATGAACAGTTTTATCAGGTTCTTTGAAGAAAGTTACTAAATTTTAAAAATCATGTACAGAGCATATGCATATGCACCAGCCCTATTTCAAAGTGGTGACTATGCACTTCTTTTTTTTTTTTTTGAGTTGGAGTCTCACTCCTTCACCCAGGCTGGAGTGCAGTAGCATGCACGCGCTCACGGCCAACCCAGTGTCAACCTTCTGGGCTCAAGCGATCCTTCTGCCTCAGCCTTCCGAATAGCCGGAACTACAGACGTGCACTACCATGCCAGGCTATTTTTAATTTTATTGTAGAGATGAGGTCTCGTCAAGTTCCCCGGGCTGGTCTCGAACCTGCGGGCTCAGGCAATCCACTCACCTCAGCCGCCCAAAGTGCAGGGAGTACAGGCTGAGCCACCGAGTCCGGCCTGACTATGCACTCTTATAGGTAATCAGTAATGCTTGTGGATCTGGTACTCTGTCAAAGATTTTTAAAAGCAGGCTCATGTGTGTACCTCCTGTCTCTTCAACTATATCTTCAGCTTTTTTTCTTTTTTTTTGAGTTGGAGTCTCACTCTGTCGCCCAGACTGGAGTGCAGTGGCTGCTCCCGGTCACCGCAGCCTCAACCTGCTGGGCTCCGGCGATCCTTCCGCCTCAGCCTTCCAAGTAGCTGGAACTACAGGCACGTGCTGCCACACCCGGCTAATTTTTGATTTATTGTAGAGATGAGGTCTCACCAAGTTGCCCGGGCGGATAGCGAATATATCTTCAGCTTTTTAAGGGCAGAAAATATCTTTTGTGGCTCACAAATTCATGTTTTTCAGTGCTATACAGAGAGGAGAGGCTCTCCAAACATAAAAAAAAGGACCGAAGAGAAGATATCATGCACTCAATACTCATGAGGTAAATTTGTTGAGGCCTACAGGATCTGCAGAAAATGAGGCCAGACCTAAACAACATTAATAAGAAACGAGTTTCTCCATTTTGTCACGGAGAAAAGTCTTACCTGTGATGGAGTTATCCTTCCCTTTTTAATTTCAGATGAATTTTCACTTAGTTTTCCTACTTTGCTACTTGAGCTGCACTTGTAACATGTCCATCTTGTTTGGCCCTTAATTTCTGTGGTGCATTCTTTGTTTTGTAGACAGAATGAGTGATACAAATGGCCACAACTGCAAAATGAAGGCAACCAATTTGCACTTTTGATTACCTTAAAATCCATAAACATAAGCTATAATATAGTATACTTAAAAGCAATAAAGACGCTGTATAGGGTAAGAAACAAGTAAGGAAATGCACTAGTTGCTGTACTCTCTTTTTAAAAATCCAGATGCACATATTTGTAAACTTTGAGAAGTTGTGAGTAGGAACAGAATCACAGTTCTCTGACTACAAATCACCTGGAGGATGAGTTCAACTGCTGTTCATCTCTCAAACTATGAAAATCTGATAGTATTTTTAGATAGTTTTTAAAAAGGGCAATTGGGAAAATCATAATTGTATAAGTAGTTTGATAATAACATGAGCAGTCTACCTCATCACATTCAAGGCAAGGGTTGTGATTTGATTAAACATTTACAAAAATGTCATTGTCCTAGTAAATACTTACACTATTCTTATAATGTCATTGTCCTAGTAAATACTTACACTATTCTTATAAGGAAATTCCTACTGATTACACTAAATTACCAAATGAGTCTCCCGGAAGGTGGGTACTGAGTACAATTCTCAGTAATCTTTACTGATTTCTCTTCACTTCTCCAACCTGAAGTGTAGGACCACATCCGAAGCCTATCCTTTTCTCTTCTGAAGTCTTTGTACCGTTTTTCTTTTCTACCCTTTTCCAGTTCCTTCTCTATTTAACTTTTTCTTCCATGCTCTTTTATAACCACCCTTGCTTCTTCAGTGATTACTTCCAGGTTCTATAGCTTTGAAACACCACCTTCAAAATATATTCCAGAATCCTGCCACTTCTTTCTTCATTATTCTCACCCTGGACCATTTCTCACATGGACTACTGCAATAGACTAAAGTCTGCTTTCCCCTTTGACTCTCTATAGTCCTTTTTCAACCAGCAGTTGGGTGATCCTTAACACATAGATCAGACCACGTCACTCTTATCCTCAAAACCATCCAACGGTTTCTCATTTCAATGTAAAAGTCTAACTATAATGACTCAGTTCCTACATGGTTTGGTTACTCATCATCTGAAGTCCTCTTTCATAATTTTCTCTTTCTCTCTCTGTTCAGGCACCATTAGTCTACTCATTCGGCCTCCTCAAGTATACGGAGAATGCTCCTGCATGGTCTCCACACTTAAGTTCCCCTGCCTGGGGCACTCGCTCCTGTATTGTGCGGCTTCTTTTAGATCTCTGCTCAAATGTCACTTAAAGTGAGGCTTTCCTTGACTACTCTTTACAAAATAGTAGCTCCCAATACTCTCTTTTCTCTATACCATGTTTTATTTTTATACATGTAATTATTAATTATATTTTAATTAATTAATTTTAAATTGTCTGTTCATAAGTTACCTTAACAGCAAGGCTTTCCCTGATAATACCAAATAAAACAGATGCCCCCCCAGCACTCTGTATCACCCTTAACACAATTTATTTTTTTCCACACTAGTTATTACTATTATTTCACTTGTTTGTTTACTGTATTCCCCTGCTACTAGAATGTACACTCCATGAGAGAAGATCCTTTGTTCTGTTCATTGTGTACCCTCCCCTCTTGCACAGAAGCTGGCATAAAGTGCTCAGTATGTATTTATTGAATAAATGGGTTCTTTATGTGATGAAAACTACTGCCCCTCCCATTCACCAAATCTACCAATCTCCTACAGAGCTAATACTTATATAGTGCTTATTTATGCCAGGAACTCTTACAAGTGCCATACATAAATTATCTCATTTATTCTTCACGAAACCCTAGGATGCAGGTACCAGTATCCCAACTTACAGATGAGGAAACTAAGATATAAAGAGGTTAGATAACTTTTCTGAAGTCTCACAGCCAGTATTTGGAAGAGTTAAGAGTTGAAATCAAGAAGTTTGGCTTCAAGTCCACACTGTGTTCCCACTATCCATGTGTTCTGGATGAACTGCCTTTATTCCTAAGACCAACCTCTTCACTTCTGCACTAGACCTCTTTTTTATTTGCACCATGGTTTAATATTATATGCTGATGATTTCTAAATTTTTATTTCCAGCCCCACCATGTCTCCAGATTTCTGACTGGCATCTCTCCTCAGATGTCTAATAGCATGTGTCAAACCTAACATGTACAAGACAAAACTCTTAATTTCCCCCAGTTCCTGATGGCTGTTCCTTCTTATCTTAGAAAATGATATCACATTCACCCAGTTGCTCAGGCCATATACCCCATTTCCCCCTCACACTCCACATCTAATATACCAGAAAGTTAGACCTACCCTTAAAATATATTTGAAATCCAAACATTTCAAGCACCTTCACTCCCACCTCTCTCATTCTGTTCAAGTGTCACTTCCTCATTAAATAGCACTCTCACCCTGAAGACTTTGTCTTCCCATCCTTTTGTCCAGTGTTTTCTTTATCTTCAAAGCTCTTATTCCTTTGTATTTATTTATGCCTGAGTACCCTAGCCTCTACTTCCATGTGCCCATGTGGAATGTCAGGTCTGTGAGGTCAGGAACTTGCCTGTCGTGTTCACTGTTAGAATGACTGACAATACCATATATGTACACACAACGTAAATGTAACATTTCCTTCCCTCTCTTACCTAAAGACAATGATTTCATCAGCCATTTCCTGGCGTCTCTTGTACTGCTGCAAACATATAGAGCAGTAATCCTGTTTAGGATTCAGTCCTCTAGTGACTGAAGCTCTCAGGTTACACAATGACCAGTGGAGATCTTGGTTTAGAAGACTAGTTGTAGTTTCCAGCAGGGTCTGTGAACCAAAGCAAAAAACAAACAAAAGATTATAAGATAAAAGAGACATAGGGAGATGAATGGGGAATAGCACTTATTTAGTTTTCAACTATAAAAAATTGAAATTGAAACACACTGTAAAGGAACAAAATTGATGAATCAAACAGTAAAATCTTCCAAATTCAAGCATTTAATCTTAGTGTGCAGAGTGATGAGTACACATATTATTAAGATTCTCAAGTCTGTCTAGAATCTACTGAGAAATGTGCTTGGTCATTCTGTGACTTAATTCAGTACTGATGCCTTTCAAATGACGAGAAGCCCAAATCTATTTATTTATTTCATTTATATAATAACTTCTCTCTGACTAGCTCAGAGTGTTATAACCAAGAACACAGTCTGGATCCCTGATTTTATACTAAAACTGCATTCATGGCAATATTTCAAATTATCTTTCACTAGAAAGCTAATGGCCATGACTCAGTTTTCATCTTCCTTGGGTAAAGAGATCACATTTTCCCAATCAGCACTTATAAGTCATTTGAATCTACTCAAGACCATGACATGTCATTAAGTCACATAAAGACATTATCACAGCTATTGTATTAAGTCATTTTAAGGCTCCATGTGCTTATAAAGTACTGCTCTTATGCTATAACTACCTCTCAACATTCATATATTTCATTTGGGCTCTTTTCTGTTAGTCCCAAAGAGGAAAACAGAGCCAAGTACTGCCTACTCTCTTTGCCATACAGCTTAGCTCTTTAACTTTACCCGTAATGCAAAACTTTTAGCTCTAGTTGTCTATTCTAAATGCCTTTTTTTTCCCTCCTTTTCCATAGTTCCAAAACTGGCAAATATTTTCCAACTTGTACTTATCTTTATTTCTGCTAACCTGAAACCTGCACCTGCAGGGGTATCATATCTCACTAGGCTTTGTTTAGCAAAAGTGTGATTTTTCTTTCTTTCTCTTTTTTGAGTCCATCTCACTTTGTCACCCAGCAGGAGTGCAGTGGCATGGTCACGGCTACCGCAGCCTCAACCTGCTGGGCTCAGGCAATCCTTCCGACTCAGCTTTCCAAGTAGCTGGAACTATAGGTATGTGCCACCTGGTTAATTTTTAAAAGTTTTTGTAGAGATGAGGTTTTGCCAAATTGCCCAGGTTGGTCTTGAACCCCTGGGCTCAAGCAATCCTTTTGCCTCCGCCTCCCAAAGTACTGGGATTACAGGTGTGAGTCAGTATACCTGGCCAAAACTGCAATTTGTACAATGCTCTAAGAAAAGCTCTGCCACCCAAATTTTTCTTTTTCTTTCCTCAGATTCTTAAAAAAGCAGACATTATCTCTAGCATGCCTAAATGGCACTTTTCCTAGGTGGTTTTAAAACTTTGAAGTACACTAAGAAAAATATCTGCACACCAAGCTGGCACTTACGGAGAATCAAAGCTAAAAGCAGTTTTGAGTAAAAAGAAGACTAATGACCATTTATGGTTATTAACAATGATCTGTTTCAGAGGCTTAAAAGAACACTCATTTAATTTTACTTAGCAATTTTCTACATTTGTAATAATCTTCCTTTTTCATGTGGTTTAGTTTTGTACTCAACTATATTTTAGGAAAGTTTTTCCTACTTTCATTTGAAAAAAAGGTATTTGTTTCATTGCCAATGAATCAAAAAATAAATCTGAATTAGATGCATTTTCACATTCTGAAATGTGTGTACATATGTATGAATTAAGGTTGAGAGAAATTTTTTTTTTTTTTTTGAGTTGGAGTCTCACT